CCAGGGGCGTTGGAAAGGATTTTGATTGTCTAAAAATATGATAGATTTAATGGGCAAAAAAACTGCATTAGATGAGTTACTGCATAATGGATTTGGTAGTGGGCCGATTTGCGGTCTTATCGTCCCCTGTCCTTTTTAATTTTATGTTATCACAGCGTATTCACGGATGCCACAAGTATTTTGTTCTTTGTTGTGATATCCTGCTCTTGAGTAAAATAAAATCTTATTTTATCTTAAAATGTATTTTTGTAAACAGAGAAGATTTTAAATTTGATTACTTTTGTTTAATCAAAGACGTGTTTCAAATAAAACTGTAAGTAAAACAAGTTTTCTTAAAAGAAGGGGAATAATTCAGGACAAGAGCACATACTCACAACCCTCACCCGCACAAAATATCACCAAAGAAACGCTTCAGTATTTAATCAAGTATTTAATGAAACAACGTCCATATCATTTCCATTCTTTTTTCATCCTTCGCGCTTTACTTCATCTACCGTACTTCTCTTAGTACACAAAGGAATTAAAAAATAAAAACACCAATTTTCAAAAAAATGGGTAAGTCTTTCATTCTCCTTTTTGCCTTTTTCCACTTTAATTTCTTCTGCTTCGATGTATCATTATTTGTCAAACACTCTCGTCCTCATCCATTTTCTACCCTTGGTGACATCACTGTAGTTTGTTTTACAATCGAATCAGTGATCATTTCGAGTTATATTTCTCAAGACATGTGTATGTCATTTCATCACTGTTGTATCTCATCTCGGAAAAATAGCTCCAACTCGACGCCAGCAGAATCGCTGAAAATGCGCATCGTTATATCTAGCTCTGATTTCGGTCAATGAGATCCCTGACTTTAGGTAATCAAATATTTGCACAATAAATAAAAATGTGTCGTATTTTGCGACTCATTAGACGGCGATACTAGGTGCACGCTGCGGCAGATTTTGTTGTGTTGTGCTGCGACATTTTTACCTTACTAGCGCTCTGTTTATTTTACTAGAGCACAACTCAAAACAAAGTAACTATCCAGATATCGTTCGTCAGTCGTTGTATGATTGCTCAGCTTCGCGCCCGTTTACCACATTTCATATATTTATTCCATTAAAACATAAACAAATTAACAAAAAAAGCAAATTTTCGGACAAGATTGTCGAAGCATTTATGCATATAGTGAATAACTTCAATAGCTTCAGACAGATGTTAGTGTTCTTGTACGTGCTAACATATAATAGAAAAAGATAGTATATTACTACCTCCTCTATCAACTATGTAAAGATTTTGCATTGAATCGAAAGCAAGTTGCTCTATATTAGCCAACGTACTAGTATTATTAAGAATTGTATCACCGCTTGATGCTCCAGGTAGCCACCGTTGCACTCTTTTATTACCGTCTTAAAAAGTAAAAATAAGCTTGAGGATTACAAGTTCATTTCCTGTGGTAAAGCATGAAGAGCCGCTTAGTATAGTCGTAAAGATATACAGGCAAAATTGATTTCACATTTGAAAACACTATCACTAGTCTACTGAACTCTAAGAGCAGCCCCAAATGCCAAAAGATAACGCCAAGTCTAAGCACCTATTAGGAAGGTAAATCCTAGTGTTACTGTATGGTAAGGTTCTAATCAGCGTTGTTTCGCGCGCTATATGACTAATAACACGGCATGGGTTGCAAAAGTGTTTTGTTTGGCATCTAAATGTGCGTTCCTGCAACTTTCAAACACTTACACGCCCCGACAAACGCCTGCAAAATGGTGGGAACATCTTTCAACACAGCGTCTTAAGGAGGATATCACCAAAACAAAATTTCATCCCCCATACGTCACTCCTCTGATATCTAGAGTTAGGCAGCTGCTTTAAAGACTTACTATCCGTCACGAATACATTTCCACTTTGATCAACCACTACACCTCTTGGATTACTCAATTGATTAGCATTTGGACCTGATCCATTTCCACCCGCAACTATTGTTCCATTTGTTGTATTAGTAGATCCAGAAGGAAAACGTAGAACACGATTGTTTCCATTATCGGCCACATAGATATTTCCATTGCTTGGATCGATATAACATCCGTTTGGACCACTCAATTCATTTAGGTTGGAACCGCCACTAGTATCTCCTTTTCAAAGTAAAGTAACACAAACTACACAATAGTTGTAGCGAACAAAGAGCGCTAATGTATGTTGTTCGATTCTCAGTCGAGGCATATTCGTATATTTATTAAGAGGCCCCCCTCAAGAATTCGATGTTTTCTTCGAAACCTTCGAAATTGAAGTAACCATATGGTTCAGTATTCCAAAGTGTCATCTTTCAGAAACCATCCCAGTTCGCTAAAAATTCAATGTTTTTGGAGGTGGTTGAAAAAGATTTCTGAAAGACCTAAAAATCACCTTTTCCTAAATTTCACATTTTAATTAACATTGTTTAGGTTGTCCATTTTAACGGACATGGAGCTATGTTGAGCAGAGTGTTTTAATCAGAATGAGATGTCGAGCGAGTTTGTACGAGCTCGTCTTGCAGAATTATACTAGTTTTGGTAAAGGCGCTATAATTAATTAAGTGATGACGTCATTGCTTAGAATATGGTTTTGGCGCAGTAAAGTTGTAATAACTCCTAGACGATTCGTCGTAAAACCATTATTCTTTTTTTATTTTGAAGCTAAGACATTGATCTAAAGTTTGATCAGCGGCGATTTTAGATTTTTGTTTTCTGTGCAGAAATAAGTGGCAAATACTCCGTCGAAGTACAGTTATTTTCAGAAGTCTCACTTAAAATAAGTGTAGGGAATGAACGGAAGTGAAATTCAAAAATCGCCCTAGATCAAATTTTAGATTTAGGTGTCTACTTTCACCTGAGGCCTCTCATAGCTTTCTGCGCCTTCCAACAAAAAGCCATAACGCTTTTGCTAAGAGCCCCATTTTGCCCTTTGTCACGCAATAACTCGACAGCGCTTGAACGTTTCGATCTCGAATTCTTAATATAAGGTCGTAGCATAGCATGCATTAGCCACTGAAAGCGCTATCTAAATGGGAGTAAGATAAAAAAGTTTTTTCCTGAGGATATCCCCTTAATTCGTCAAGCGGCTTTTTCTACAAAACCAAGTTATCAACAGACGATTCTACCATCTTCGAAAATTTTCTCCAGTCGTGCTGAAGATTTTTGCTGTACATACATCAAGGAATATCTCAGGTGTACTTTCTTGAATTCATTACATCACGTTTTCTTCTTCAATTATGACCCAAATACTAAGAGTCCTATCTGAATGTTTCTTTTTTTTCGTTTTAAAGAATCCTTTAAGTTGGGAAGCAATTGATCAAAGATCTTTTGCCGAAAACAACTACGTATGATACGGTCTCGCATGTTGTCCCAGACCGTCTAAAAGTTTCCAGAGAAGCTGCAGGACTGCTATTTTGAGCCACTCTTTGAAATCACGCTCTGTTCTATAAGGATGTGCATTCAGCAACGCATTCTGTCTGTTCTGTATCCACTGCACATGCAAAATAGTTTTTGGAAAGTAGAAATTACACATCTTTCAACTTCCAAGGATTAGAAAATTCATTCAAGATTAGAAAAAGCTTGTGTGTTTGAATGGTATGCTAACCTGCGGCAACCTGGTATGGAGCGGAACCCAGTGGATATCTTAATATTCTACCAGCCGACAGTAGATATATATCATTGTTGCGTGTATCGACACAGACATTCGCCCCTCCTGTCGTATCGACAACTGTACCCACTGTTGTACTATTGGACCCCGCCGAAAATTTGAGGAATTTACCACTACCTGAATCACTGGCATATACAGTGCCATTTGAATCAACGGTTACCCCGGTGAGAGAAGTGAATTGACTAGCTGTAATAACGGTTCCATTTGGTTGACCAAGGATCCATCGTATAACACTGTTACTACCATAATCCCCAATATACATTATCTGATTTGTTTTATCAAAATAGAACCCAATTGGTGTATTTAATTGACCGAATCCAGCCACTGTTACTGCTGTGGTATTCCAACTGCATAGCTCTACAAAAAGCAGACATCTGATGATTTTGAAAAAACTGCTCAAATATTTATGTTAAAATATATCAGTGTACGGTGCCAACGAGCAATGTTCTTTCCGAGCTACGCAGAATTCTCTGTCCGAAATACGCTCCTATCTAGCATAGATCACGAAAGGAGCATTTTCTGTACTATTCGAGAAGAACTGACTACTGTTTAAGTAAATGTCACCGAAAGTTACTTAGATTGAGGAAGATATTGTAAATTATGTTATGTCGATAATGATATAACACCGATACCAAAGCTGGGTAACTCAGTTCCGGAGCTCAGTTGGAGTTGAGTTCGAGTGTGCTTTTTAAACCGCCGGATTTAAGTTGATGACAGATTTTGTCAGTTCAGTCCCATTTCCTTTTCTTCGCGGAGTTCTTTTTGTTTAGTTTTTATCTATACTTTAACAATTCGACAATTTGTTGAATTCAGTACGGAACAGAAAGCAATAAATTTCACAATTACATTTCTCTTCGCAAAAATGAAAGCAATAAAGCATAAAGAGACTGATTCCACTCTCCTAAATGGAAGCCCCATTATCCATATTTTCTTTATGATTGTGTGTCTGTGGTTGAGATGTATTTCGTTTACCTACATGAGTAGGTAAACGGAATACATCTCCGTGCAGCGCTTGTAAATGGCTAATTGGAGAGATAAAAGTGTATGCGAAGTAATGTTGAAAGAAGAATTCTTCATGCTGGAAAGAATAAAGCATTTGAATATAGACTTATAACCATTCAGCCGATGCTGTGACTCATCGTTTTACTGTCTATTGTTAGGTAGTAGAGGTGATACTTTACTAGTTACTCGGCGTTACTTTATCAGGTAAAGTAAAGAACTTAGTTATTCGTTACTGGTAACGGAATAACTAGATTAGTTACTTCTTTACTAGTAACGAATAACTAAGTTCGTCACTAATTACAAGTAAAGTAAAAGTAAAGTGGCATCCCTATTATGTGGCGTCCTCTGTCAACGGTTTTACGTACCTTTGCCTAGAAACGTTTTACACATAAACCTTACATAAGACGTCGAACTTCTATGCCACTTTTAGTTAATAAAATGCCACAAAATTTTTAAGATCTATGAAACGTCAGTATTGAGTATACAGAGTGCCGTAATGGTTACGCATTGCACTTGAATAAAAATCCGTTGTTGCCGTTGCATAGTAATTGTAAAGATGTAGTACTTTGTTATATTCTAAAAAGCTGTCAAAAAACTTGGCGAAAACCTTTGGCAGGCGCAATAATCCATTTTTCACCGCTTGGGTTTGAGAAAAATTAAACCTTTCATAACTCAGTCAAAATCAATTCGAACTAATTCAGAACTACAAGAGATACTCTATTTTATCTATACTATACCGCTATGTTTGACAACATTTTCAAAAACCAATAGAAAGTACTTTGGTTCTAAAAGACGTTCTAGAAATCTTTTGAAGTAAGGAAACGTGTTTTACTCGTCTTAAGTACAGAATCACATTGAACAGAAAAAAATGAAGTATAACTTGAAGTTTTAAAGTAGTTTTTGATCAGTTTTGGCTGAAATACGAATTTTCCACTTTTTGGTGAAGTTAAACACGAACTATATCACGTAATGAACGCTTTCACGACCAAAAAGTGTTTTGTAGACGAAGATTGAGAACATTTTGGGCAACCTTTGTTACAATCCGTCAAATTCAAATTCAATCATCCTGTTCAAACTGACATAATTTCCTAAAGTGCGAGGAGCCACTCCTTAACCGCAGATAACGCTGTCTGTTCTCCAGAGTTAATGGAAAAATTTTGCCAAAAACAAACTTTAAGTGTTTCGAATTTTTAATTTTAAAAGCATCTAAAAGATGGGGAACGATAAGATCGCAGATCGGTCCCGTTTCAAATCAGTCTGAAGTTATCTCATGTGACGCAGTTGTTGTTCACGATTAACCACAGCATATTTTTAGACTGTAGAAATCCTTTTTAGCGACTCGGGAAACCTGTCAGCAAAAAATGTTTCCTCGCCCAGGTAAAGAAAAAAAAGTGGTTGACTGGCGTCCTGACTCGTCGAAAATGTCTGAGAACCCCGTCCGGATTCTGGAAAGCGACAGTATTGAAGAAATGTCCAGTACGTTCTGACGTACACCCTGACGCCAGTTAAGAACGAAGAGGTCCAAAAAGTTAAAATGATGCCCATCGGATCACGTGACCTGTGTATAGTCAAGACTACGGTGACTGTCGTGGCGTTGCAACACAGTCATGCTACTCGTCTTGACGGCATATGTGCCTCTAATTGTGTCGTAACAGCAGACACGTCGTCCGTAAGTATGGATGGAAAAGTAGTCTACTTTAAGAAATAAAGTACCCTATATAACAGACACTGTTTTTTGTCTTGTTTAAAATGAGAAAAAACGTTGGTATCGTCAATCATACACGTGGCGCGAGAGTATATATAATATATATGGTGCCGACAATTCAAAACATAAGCAAACATTTTTTTTTGATTTTTTTTATCATCAGATCGAGCTCATCGAGTTACTTTATTTGTTAAAGCAGACTACTATTATACTCGAACTTTTTGCAGTTTATGTCTCCTTTTTGAATATTTTTAAGGTAGAACTAAATCAGTAAAATAACCAATTTACCCAGTAAGTACACAGCACTTGCAGTGGGTGAGAGAATAGGGATATAGAAAATCCTTTTCATTTTACTGTCACACAGTTGCAATTTTTCTGCATTCATTTTGGGTATCAAAAATGGTTCTTCTTTCTCATGAAACACACCAAATGTAGGGGCTTTCTCAGTGTATAGACTCAGTTAATGTTTGCTGTGTCATGATCTTAAAATAAATCTGCACATAAGTGAGAAATGCATGAAAGATTCATGTTATCACAATTATGAGTATCCTCGATGTAATATCGCTTTGCTGTTAATGACTCTCAAGAGGTATCGATGATCAGTTCGGTGCTGTTTGACGCACGGAGGATTGTGGCTCAGCATTCCGCCTCATTCGCAGAATATTAGATCTAATGACGAACTGATTCTAGCAATAATTTCTACGGATATCCATTCTCTGAAAGTCCAAGCGTGAACGTTTTCTTCACATATGGTAAACGTTACCAGAGGATAAAACTCACAGGCGAACTGTAAATCATTGGACCGCTCTCACTTTTTTTCTGAGGTGAAATGTCAGTTATATGGCAAACTATAATTGAGAAATCCATGAGAAAACCTATTAATATGGTCCTTATGACAAGTAGAAAGGATTTAGACAGAGAGAGGGCGTCTTAATAAAACTACTGTGTATAAGTTTTGATCTCAACTTCAAAGCGAGTCTGAGGTGAATGATTGACTCTGATTGCATTATGTTCCCGAAGAAAAAACTGGGTAAAATATGGTGAAATCAGCTTCTCAGCTATCTCAAGAAATATTCCTTTTGAGTGACCCTTTTATATCAAAATCAAAAGAAAAAAGAAGCATGTTTCTCCATATGAAGAAAAATGTTAAAGAAGGATAGATTGCTCCAAATGCTTATCTACGTTATATAATATATATATATATATATCCTCTCGACACGTGTATAATTGACAATACCAGCACTTTGTTCTCATTTTAAATCAGACGAAAAGCAGTGTCTGTTGTATAAGACACTTTATTATACTAGCGAAAATGAGATCTCTTTAGATAAGGGGACAGAGAGCTGAATTTGCTGTGTACATCCTCTGAATTTACTACCTGACTCATACTGATTTTTCCTTTTCAGATAGAGATCATAACACGATAAAAGCATTATCTGCTCGACGAACACGTTAAAATTTGATTGCACTATGTTCTCGAAGAAAAGTCGGAGTAAAACATAGTGGAATCAATCGTAGATAACAGAACGGTGACTGGAAAATGTGGAACTAGTAACATTATCGGACACTATCAAGATGGCCGTTGGGATGGGTGGTCAAACAGGTCCAAAACACAACAATGACTGGACGCCATTGCTCTACGCAAAGCGACACTTTGAGGACCTCAGTCATACCCGCAGACAGGGCGTCGTGTTTCACCTATTTCAAGCTCACTATGAAGCTCGTGAAATTCTCTACACAATGATATATGAAGTCTACTGGTTAGCGAGAAAATTAGTCATCGTTATGAACATCAACCCACAGGTTTACACAAAACAAATTCTCCGAATCGCTCTCCTGAGGAACGCCGCTCTTGGATTCTGTACAACTTCTGTGCTGAGAGTTTTGCTCCAAAATGCTTACTTCAAGCAAACGACCCGAAAGGCTTTTTTCAAATACTTCTAGACCCAAAATTCGATCGGAAAGATAAAAGGTGAATTTGTCCGTCAAACGTCAGTCTCGAACGATTAAAATCTTTTTCTATATACAACTTGATGCCCTCTATCCGTTGAACCAAGAAGTGAATCTTGATAAAGAAATTTAAGACGTTATTCAAAATTCGAAATTCAAGCTAGAACCCTTAACAAAACTCCACAAATCTTTTTATCAAAAAAATAAAGGTAAAACTTCGGGAACTGCAACAATTTCAGGGCACATACACTTCCAACTGTGCTCTAGAAATTGGCAGAGAAAACGGGTAAGGATAACCCCTAAAGCCACGACGGGCGCTTTCGAGAAACTTGCTGAGAATTGTATTTTAAAGTAACCGATTTGAAAATCCCGAGCAACAAAACATAGTATTGCCCGATGCATCTAGTTTACTAGAATTTTACTCTATTGTAATGATTTTGTAACGACAGTAGAAATCTATTAATCAAGCGATTCCCATATTTCTCCTCAGTTGCAACTATCGATTTATCTATTGCTATTATCTGTCCAAATGAACAATGGACGCGGTCATTCTTTTATAACCTTTTAACACTGACCTCCAGCGTTTTGTAGCCAGGATCTGACAGCAGCTTCCTGTGTATAAATCAATTCTACCAATGAGGTCTCGATGTTCTAAAGGCAGGGTTGACGTTCACTAGCTTTTCATATACGTCTAAAGTATGAAACTGCACCTCACACAGAGCAACATATAGTCTACATATCTGCATAAACCGGGCAGCACCCGACTTTTTCTGAGAACACCTCAGAACCGGAAATAATGTTAAGAGTAATGCTGGCGGGTCGTCTTCTTAAGTCATGACAAGCCCTTTCAAATCTGCAGAAAAATGTTGAGAATTATGCTTTCAATTAATTAATCCAAATTTGGTCCTTCGAACTTCTTTCGAAACGATATTATAAGAGATGTTTGTTTGATACTTTTTCTACTGTTACAGATATTTAAAGAGCAAATCAAAATGTACTCTCACTTGCGGTTGTGGTTGTGGTTGTGGTTGTCGACGTGGTTGTAGTAGGGGTTGACGTTGTGGTGGGGGTTTGGGTTGTTGTGGGCGTTTGGGTTGTGGTGGGGATGGGGGCTGTGGTGGGGCTTTGTGTTGTGGTTGGGGTTGTGGTGGGCGTTTGGGTTGTGGTGACTGGGGCGGTGGTGGGATTCAATGTTGTGGCTGAAAGGATATGGAAACCCGTCAGCAGAAATTAAAAGTTAAGGCTATTCGGAAATCTACAAACTCGAAATATGTGCCCAAGTTGGCTAAGCATATATTTCCACTCACTTCGAAAATGGTGAGGTCGTTATGATATATTCATCGGGTGCTTCGTGTACGCTAGTTAAGGAGGAGGTCGCATAATATACATTTTACTCAAATTTACAGTTATTTGAGGACAATATTTTCTAAAGTTTTTCCAGCTCTTTGACATTATATGACTCAGTCAAAATGCAAGTACTTGAGCATATGTTCTTTAATTTCTGAGCACGGGGCTGTTATTGGACAGCTCCATACTTTATTTATTATTGAAAGTTGATTCTTACGTAGAGAGAAAGAGAAATGTGTGACAAATTTTTGCGACGCGGAGGTATGTAAAACGTTTTATTCTTTCCTTTCTGTTATTGTGTAATTAATACTGATTAAAATATTTAGAACTCAGTTTCGACTGCTATGTAAAAACTGTGGGAGTCACTGTAATATCAAGCGGGGAAGTATTTAATGGATGGAAGCCGATAGCGTTTTATAAGATGAGTTTTTTAATTAGATTTGTCGGATTTACTGGGTATTGTTGTACCTGATATCCCTTTTGCTTGGCTTGTTGAAGCTTGTCTGCTTGAACCTTGTGTGCTTGAAACCTGTCTGGTTGTAGCTTGGCTAGTTAGAGTTGGTCTGGTAGTACTGGCTAAGAAGAAAATATGAGAAATTTCACTAGTACCTTATTTAAGCATCTCTGTTCAAATCCTTTAAAGCTCATCGAACTTTCGGTTCTAATGTAATATGGAATGATGTGAAATACAAGAAAATGTAAGGCATTCACACAACGGCACGGTCCGCATCCGTAATGAGGCGTAATTGTTGTCCATAAATTTCTGATTAAAACGAGGCATCTCCCAGCTCTACACGACCTTTCTTTGCAAAGTTATAGAGTTTACAAGAAAAGCCCTTCTTA